TGGCGTTATATATTTGTGTTACTTAAAGTAAGAACTGGTCTGTTTTCGTTCTCGTTGGTCTTACAAGCAGCTATGTCGTACCACTCTTTGATCAGCAATACAGGGCGGTTCAAGGATCGCACAAATTAATGTTTCAAGCACTGCAAAAGTTCGGAAATGAATATTAGTGCAATATTGTTTCAAAGGGTGACACTTCTATTTTGTTACACAGTTTCTAGCCTGTTACATATAATTAATCACTTAAAATTTCAGTTCCAGTTTGTGCTGTTAGCTGTAAAAATTTTATTGCGAATTTTTTCACACATTCTCCGTTTCAAATCGCAACATTTTATTCTCGACTTCGTCCATTCTGTCCAAATTCAGAAGAGGCAGGCAGGCAGCCACATTTTTCCTGATGGTGAACATTTCCACTTTGTCGAAATAAGCTTTTGAAGGAAAAAATCTTTCTCTTGTTAGGCTTACGAACATTTGGGAAGCTATCTTTAAACGCGTCAACAAATTTTTCATAAGAATGCGTTTACCAAATAATACTCAATCATAAAAATTCTTTCTGACTGGGAAAAGCTCTTTTCCATCTTGCGCCAAGAAAGCAATTTTAAAAGTTAATGCATAAATTGCAACTGAGATTTCGAGTGAAGTATTACTTGTAACAAACTAGGAATGTTATTCATTAAAACAAATCGCCATTAATATCCACCTTCGAGTTTCTACAACTTTTGAAAGTTTCATGGGCAAGACTTTTGAATCACCCTGCGTAGATACTAAACATCTTCTACGCTGAGATTTCATAGCTCCTTATTTTTGTATATACTGTGTAGAATTGAAATTTTTTTTTATTACAAAGCTACATTTGCTTCTAAAGATTAATTAAAAATTATTTCCCGGACCTGACTTAATACCTTTTTTATTGTTGGTTTTCTCTTGCATTTCAACTAACTGAATCTTAGGAAATGCTATAATTGAGCATTTCAATAATTGGTTACATATTGCCTATGTATTTTTATGAACTGATTATACTGTTGATGTTCCTGATTTATGTTACATAACCTACTAGGTTAACTTATGAGAATACGTAATACAAAAATACATTTTGTTTTAAAAACATTTTCTTTAAAGAAATAAATAAGACTGATGATGATTTGATGTGATTAGTTAAATTTAATAAATTTGCTCCGTAAGATCTCATAGTCACCGCATTAAAACCGCGCCTGCGTTAAACGCCGTGTAGAAGCAGATACAAAGTTTTGTGTTTTATCCGTTGGTTCAGGAAGTCGAAGCGTGCTAGCAACAAGGTAGCCATCCGAGCATCTGCGCTATCGAGCGACTAACTAGACGTGATCTTTCTGAAAGTCATGAACGGATGAGCAATGATATTCGGAAGTCTGTAACGCTTAGACTGCAAGTAATGTGAGGAACAAAGATGTCGCAAATAAGGGTACGAAAACGGCGTCAAAAGAACTAGTCCGTCCAATAAAAATAAAAGAAGTATAACAAATGAGAACACTATAAATCTCATGGTAGGAAAAATGAAAGATAATTATTAGTATCGCCGTTGGTACTTCTGATAAACCCAAAATGACCAAGTTGTAACGCATTGAAACGAAACAAGTTGCAAATGAAGGATTTTAGAGCCGAGACAGAACCTCTCAGACGGTATAGTCCAAAAGGTATAGTCAGACTATATAGGGAAGCATGATTGCGATACCGAAGGAAAGGTACTTTAACTGAAAATAACTAGTTTGAAAATTAAATTATACTTTACATGTTGTTAATTTTTTCTTGCATGTTTTGCATACAAAATCAACATCTATTTGCAAATAGCTGTTGGTTTGTTTCTTAACATTTTGTTAAAACTGACAGAAATGATAATTTCATTTGAAGAACCATAGGAAATTTTTAATTTTTTCTATTTGAATAAAAATATTTTATTTGAAGAATGAATATGAAAAGCAGAAAGAAACATCTCGGCATGGATGAAATTTAACTTTATTGAATATAATAATGTGAAAGATACAAAAAAATTCTGAATACGGTTTGTAATGAATATGAAAAATGCGCTTCGTTTCTAAAAATCTGTACACCCTTCTATTTATGTATAATTAAGAATTGGAATGATTTACGAACGAAATTATAACTTCAATAATGTTTTAATTGTTACAAAAAGAAGGTATAAATATAAACACTAAATGTTAATTTATTCTTATAATATATTGTAATGTGTAAAAACATGTACTAGAACAGTGTTAAAATTGTGGCATCTGAGATAAAGTTAGGAAACATTTCGAAAGATTTCGAAAGAATTAAAACAATCATTAGGATTTGAAATAAAAAGAATTTGAAAAAGCGAAAAACACTAGAAAATGTGAACTTCTTCAATTTCATTGTTGAAATTGGAACAAGATGTTTAAATATAATAACTGTGTTTATTTTTACAAAATATAATGCTCAAAATTTAAATTTTATTTTCCGAAGTTATGTAAAAGTATTTAAGAATTTAAGCATAATATAAATTATTATAGTATCTCATATAATATAGATTTTGTGTTCATGTTTCTACTGCTTTGGTCCCCCCTCAAAATCTTTTCCATTTAGGGGGGGGCATCGTATCAAAAGATAAAATTTTAACTTCAGTGGGCTTTATTTTTAATTTGGTTATTTGTTTTCTATTCTTAAAATAGTCAAATGCTTGTAATACATTTTTCTGACACATACTTTCTGAACTGCATCAGTTCTATACTAATCTCTATCATATGATTATTATATAACGCTGATGACGCATGTATTTACATAATAACAAACGTGAGAGTATAATTTTTTATTCGATTGTACCAAATCGAAACTTCTATAAACCGTTAGTGATGAAGTGATACTACGCACCACATCCAACATATTCAATATCATATACTACCCTAAAATTTTTATTATATATACAAGAAATAAATTCACTATATCAGTTTTATTTCTATTATATGTTAGTATGAAATATTGGGTTTTGTACGCTTTCTGATATGGTTATTTTAGATTTCAAAGCGTTCGATATTTTTCCTGTGTCATGTGATAATATAATTGCTTCTCTTTTTCCACTTCAGCCTATTAAGAGTTTCAGATGAAAACTCTGCTTTCTAAAACGAGGAAAAAGCTATATTTATCTTACTGATTTCGTCTTTTCGCGGAAATTTCGTAGCCTTTAGCAGCAACCGAAGTGCAATTACTTTTATTTCTAAGTTAGAGTAAATTAAAGTTTTATTCCCTTTAGATCAGGAATAATTTAGATCAGCAGTTCTCAACCTTTTGACTAACGCATATCATCTAAACAAAAATTGAAAAACCTTGAGTACCACCACTACATTTTACAATGATTAGGTTTCAGTTTCTCAATACAAATATTAAAATATATATATATATTTCGCCATTTCCACAGCCTGGCTATATTAAATATCCACACATAAAAATACTAAATTAAAAATTGGTTACCATTTTAATTATCAAAATTTAAGTTATACTACTTTTATTCTAAAACTCGGTGTGAAATTTGGGCGTGCTTAAGGCTGCTATCATACATCGGTTTGTTACGAAAGGACAACTGTATGGAACAATTTTTCTGTTTTGTCTCAACAGGCAATCACCACAGATCACTTAGGGGTTAACATGTAAAGAGAAACTGGTACTCCATTACAAACAAGCTGATTGGTTGAAATCGAACAACTTGCAATTTTTTTCGAAAAGAAGTAAAAAATCGCGCATCTTTCTTTCAATAGTAGACCAGGCATAAAAATTGTCCTGACTGAATTAGTCTATGCTTGTTTAGTTTTTCGATTCTATTTTACATCTTTTGATTCTTTAAATCCTGCGATATCGTTTTGAACTTCCGATATTTGAAAACGATGTCAGAAGACCTACAAGATCATTGGTACGTAAGCCCCTGAAACTGAAAGACTTCGATGCCAGATACAGAGCAGATAGTTAAACTTTCTTGACACCTGTCATGAAATTATGACTCCAGTAATGTCAATGAGGAAATTTCTGAACAAGTTATTGCTTCTGCACTCTCCTGGCATGTGGTCTCACACCTTGCGACAACTCGAAGACATCGATTTGTAAGAGAACCGCACACATGAATTTCTAATCTTTGTGTGGTTCGCCGCAATGTTTATCATTACTCTTTGCTTAAAGTTCGCTACAGCAGAATTCCATTTGTAGATGGCTGTATGTATATTCTTCGTCAAATATTTGCTTAAAGTTATATCTGCAAGAATAATTATGAAGCTCGGAGAAACTGTCTTCATTTTGGCCTTTCATCCTCACTTCGAAAGGAGATGCTCTGCCAAGTAGCATTCAGACTCAATTAATCTAAAGACTTTCCTGAACGGGATAACTGTTAGAAAGTCAAACGATATGCAGATAAGTCTTTAATTCTTTTGTCTCAGTTTCTCTATTATTGGTTTGTAGATATTTTGATAGTCATTCGGAATCAGATCCTCAATTGAATGTTTACCGTATATAGTATAATAGTTTACCGTATACGCTCACGTAATGTTCGCAATTGTTTTGCTAAAATTACTGTTATTACTAAAACATAGTCTTATCATTAAATATCATTAAAATAAAAATACTTCCTTCACTCATGCCAGATACCGAGCAATCCAGAAAACCTAAAGACAAAACTTGCTCACTTACCTGGGTAGTGTGATGTTGAATCTGTAATAAAAACTCTAATATGTTGATTTATTTAATTATATTCTCTCTATACTACAAAATATATACATTTTTTAACAATTGTCGGGAAATTTTTCTGGCCCCGAAAGTTATTACACACTTAATCAGTTCACGTCACGAGGTCGAAAGGAGAAACCCTTTTTTTCTTCCTACTTCAATGACAGCCAACGCCATCTGTGTCTCGTACATCAAAATGAAGAGATTTGTTTTTAATATTTGTTAGATACAGCTAATCAGTTTCACAACACTCCCACCTTTTTGATTTTCAGAAGGAAAATCAAAAATCAAATAATGGTATCCTTAGTACAGGAACACACTTCTAGAGGGTACAGTTTACGTACAGGACGAATCAGTATGCCATTTCTAGTTTTCACTTTTACAACTCTTACACGTCCATCTCTGCTTGTACAAAGTTCTTGGACACGAGCAATTGGCCAGTTCACTCTTTTAAGGTTCTCACAACCTATTAGCACGATGTCTCCAACTTTTAATTCACAGTCCGTCTGTCCATGCTTTTGTACTAACTGTCCAAGGTACTCCTTGCGGAAACGGCTACGAAATTGTTCTCGAAGTTCCTGGCAGAAACGCTGACGAGCCAAGAGTTTATTTCGATCTAAAGCATCCAAATCTGCTGTACCTGAAACCTTAATGTCCTGTAAGAACATGGAAGGCGTTAATGGTAGAAGATCCTCAGAGTCATTTGACACATAAGTTAAGTGGTCGACAGTTTATTACGGCTTCCACATCACAGATGACGGTGAGTAACTCTTCGTAATTGACTGCAGCTTGTCCTAAGACTCTCACAATCAAATTCTTGGCTGTGCGGATTAGACGCTCCCACCATCCGCCCCACCAAGCAGCAGTGGGCGGAATGAACTTCCAAGTGATGGGATGCAAAGTTTCCTGAGCAATTACCTTTACCCAGTCAACCTTTTTCAGCAATGCAGATGTACCGACGAAATTTGTGCCGTTGTCTGAATAAACTGTAGATGGCCGACCTCTTCTGGCTATGAACCGACGAAACGCTTGAATGAAGCATTCGGTACTTACGGATGTCACTAGTTCCAAATGTACACATCTATATACAGCACACGTAAACAGTACTACCCAGGTTTTGTTTTTATTTTTGAGAATCAGAGGGCCACATAAATCTATGCCGGTAACTTCAAATGCGAAAGCATCTCGAACTCTGTCTAATGGTAATTGAATGGGTGCAGTAGTTGGAGGTTTTGCTGAAAATCGTTTACAACGGACGCACTGTTTCACCACCGATCTAATTCGGCGTCTTGCACCAATGATCCAGAATTCTTCTCTAATTATAACAGTTAATGCTTGTACGCCGGCATGAGAATGCTTTAAATGGTAATCTCTAATTAAACAGTCAACAATATAATGCTTAGAAGGTAATAAAATCGGGTACCGGAATGCATAAGAATCATCTCGTTCGGTGATTTTTCGTTTTTACTCTTCTTAAGCCACTCTGATCTCGTACGGTCAAAAGACCATTGATGGAGTCTCCAGTCTCTGGAAAACTCTCCCCTGAACAAGTGAAAGAAGTATAATTTTAGATTCCTTTATCTCGGAAGCAGACAGAAAAGGCTCTTTATTTACAATTTTCTTTTGACAATTTTTGATAAATCTCTTTATCCAACCTAAAACTCTTAACATTTTTGAAAATTTAGAGAACTTCTCACACCACTTAACTTTATCCGCTTTTGTAGTTATACTAAGATTTACATTTAAATTTATGCCTTTCCTGCGCTCTGAAAAAACTAAAGTTTCATTTGGCTTAACCTCTAATTTTGGCCAGCTATCTCTAGGGTCTTTGAGCCAAACAGGCCCTCTCCACCAATTTAATTCGAAAAACTGAAGAGGGGAACAACCACGAGAAGGTAAATCAGCTGGGTTAGAATGACCCTGTACATATGACCACTGATTTGCTTTAGTGAAAGCGCAAATTTCCTTCACGCGATTGCCCACAAAAGTCCCCCACGCATCATTTCTTTGAATCCAAGATATGGCCGTGGTGGAATCGGTCCAAAAATATTTCGGGATGTCATCCAATGTAAGAGCTTCTGTCACATATTTGGAAAGACGCACGCCCAAAAGACAGGCCATAAGTTCTAGACGGGGAATAGTAAGTTCTTTTAAGGGTGCGACTCTTGACTTAGCCATTACAAAACTGACTAATGTTTCTTCTTTAGTTTCGCATCTCAAAAATATTACCGTGGCATAAGCATGCTGGCTAGCATCACAAAATACATGAAGTGTCCAGGAACTTCTATCTCCAAAACCTATACGTCGCGGTATTCTCAACTTATTCAAAATTTGTAATTTATTATACCACCTCGAAAATTTACTTTTGATACTATCTGGTAATGGAGTATCCCAGTCTGCTTTTATCGCCCAAATTTCCTGTAGCAGTAACTTTGCAGGCAATAAAACAGGTGTCAAGAAACCCAAAGGATCAAACATTGTCTGCGTTACTGACAAAAACCTCTCTTTTAGACAAATTATCCGAAACCAATACAGTCTTAATTTCAATATAAAGGTTATCTTCTATTCTGTCCCACATAATTCCTAAAACTGGTACAGAATTCTCCATTGTGGACTCAGTGCACAAAGTACTTTGGGTTAGTTCCACATCTTTTTCTACTGGGCCATAGGTCCACATACGTAAGTCCATTTTTGCTTCAGCTAATATTTCAGTAGAAGATTTCACAAAATTCACAAGCTCCTTTTCGTTATCAACAGAAGTCACACAATTATCAATATAAAAGGATTTATTTAATTTCTGAGCAATAGAACTTTGTTCCTTTGGTACTTGTGCCAAATGAACTGAAATAACCGCTCCTAATAGAAAAGGGCTAGACTTTACTCCAAAAACTACCCTCGTATGGCGGAAAACCTTCAGTACATTATCTTTCTCCCACCATAAAAATCTTAAAAAGTCCCTATCTTCTTTCCGTAATTCAATCTGTAAAAATGCACGCCGGATATCAGAGGTTACGCCAATGCATTTTTCTCTAAATCTTAACAAAATTGAAGGGATTTCTTCTATTAAATTTGGTCCTTTTACTAAGTAATCATTAAGGGAGGGCGATCTATTAACTTTACATGATGCGTCAAAAACAGGTCTTATCTTAGTTGAGACACTGTCTGGTTTAAATACTGGGTGATGCGGTAAGTAGTGCCCTTTATAATTCAGTTCATTGTCTGGTACTATTTCAATTACACCCTCCTCCATCCATTCATTAAAAATTCTATCATATTCTTCATATTTATGTAAAGACTTGAGTTGAGTTTTCGGGTGACACTGAACAATCTTTTTTCTGCTACATGACGATTTGATGGCAATTCTGCGTTATATACTAACCAAGGTAATCCGACACAATAACGACCATCTTCGTTTCTGGAAAGAGAGTTTAAAAAATTGTTCGTGGGCAATTTCTTCCTCAGCAGCGTTAGTTGAATTCTGGTGAGCATCTAATATTCCGATCGTTTCTAAACTCCAAAGATCGGAGATTTTAAAGTCGTGACCCACTAAACTTGCACACAAAATGGAAGCATCTTTATCTTTGTGATTAACAAATTCCTCCGATACACCACAAACTGTCCAACCAAGTTTTGTACAAACTGCTGTTAGTCCTCCTTTTAATTGTTTTACTGATCCCGTGAGAATTTTTCCATAAATATCACTACCGATGAGCATTTCTATTTTTGGACAATCTGCTCCCAGATCCGACAACCAAATGTTGTTTCGTTTTAATTCTTTTAATATTCGGACCCTTGGGTACCCGAGGTATATCCCCACATATTATGTCTTGATCTAAAAATTCAAATTCTAGATCTGAATACTTACGCGGACTGGCTGAACATAATTTTACCAAATATTTGTTATGCATCTTTGCCTCTGTTCTGGCACCTCCAAATAAAGTAAGAGCAACATTTTCTTTGGAAATAATTGGTAACCCCAATTCAGTGGCTAATGATTTCAAAAAAAATATACGATTTCTGGGAACCACAATCTAAGAGTACTCTAACATCTTTATGCTTTTTGACACCAGCTACTCTTACGCGTAAAGTCATTAAAGCTACGTCAGCGGTACAAGTTTGCCTGGCTGTAGCCGTATGTATGTTGTCTATTTCTGATTTTTCTGTAGGAAGTTCAGTTTCATTATTAATGTCCGGACACAAAATAACTGAGTGTGATTTACCACAAGCAAAACACCTAACAAACTGTTTACAGAACTTTGCCATATGATTTGGTTCCAAGCATTTTAAAACAGCATTTTTTCTCCTTAACTTTAGAAATCCTTTCATTAAGAGATAATGAACGCGCATCGTAACAATTTTTACTATCATGCATTTTACCACAAAAAATACATGCATGTTCTCTGGTTGTAAGAAAACCTGTGGCAGTGGGAACATTTCCCTGTTTCTTAAATTTAAATTTACCTTTTGTTTCCCTCTTTGCTTTATCATGATATCCTTCTTTACGACTAACACCATCGAGTCCATTACGCGCCAATTTTAATCTCTCCTCACCCTCCACTTCAGACTTTAAAAATTTCATTAAGTTGGTAAGGCGAGAAAGATCAGTTCCTTCAGGCTGGTTAAAGAGCGAACTCCTTTGCCACGCCTTTAAAACATCCTCTGTGAGACACGATTCCACCATCGGAAATAACCACGATGTGTTTTCGCTCGATTTAAGACCTAAAGACTCTAAGGCTCTCAACTGAGCTTCAATTTTATCATACAGTTTATCAAGAGGTAATTTATCCTTTTGATCTGCCTTCACATTAGAAACAATTAATTTAATTAGTTCCCTAACATACACTTCTACTAATAATTCAGGTTTCCCAAAACGTTCCTTCAAAGCTAAAACAGCTTTATCATAATTTTCCGAAGTCACCGGATAGCTTTCAATGAATCCTTTAGCACGCGATCCGGGCTTCATACACTGAATCAAATAGGAAAATTTGTCACTTTCATATAAATCAGAGTCAGTGTGAATTTTCTCAAACTGCGACCAAAACGGTAACCAATTTATCAATTCCCCATCAAACTTCTTAAGTTCGATTTTCGGAAGTCTATACTGTTTAATCTTACTACAACAAATACCAGCACCATCATTTGGTCTTGTTTCTAAATTGATTTCATCTGAAAATTGCAATTTTTCATTAATTTGCCGAGTTAGTGTTATGAAATCATCAGAATACACCTCGCGACTTTCGATTTCTTTAGTAACATCATCCTCTAAAGTTTTCCCGTCTTCAGCTAACAAATCAAGAATTTTATCATCTACATTTTTTATATCTGAATATACATTTTGTAGTTTAGTAAGTTTATCTCGTACTAAATCTACAGAAAAATCTTCTTTTACTAATTCCGTTTTTTAAAATATTAGCAGTTTTTGCAAAAGAAGTGCGTAAACCTGCCCGTTTAAGTTTCAGAGCCTTTAAAGCTTCCATAGTTAACTTTCAAAATAAAACAAAACTGCTTTACAAAAAATAGTTTCGAATTTAAACTTAATTATACTTTAATACATCAAAAACTATCTATAACCATTAAAATAATTTTTTTTAAAGTTTATTTCTTAAGAGTCCTGTCACGGGACGCCACTTTTGTTATTACTAAAACATAGTCTTATCATTAAATATCATTAAAATAAAAATACTTCCTTCACTCATCCCAGATACCGAGCAATCCAGAAAATCTAAAGACAAAACTTGCTCACTTACCTGGGTAGTGTGATGTTGAATCTGTAATAAAAATTCTAAGAATTTGATTTATCTAATTATATTCTCTCTATACTACAAAATATATACATTTTTTAACAATTGTCGGGAAATTTTTCTGGCCCCGAAAGTTATTACACCCTTAATCAGTTCACGTCACGAGGTCGAAAAGGGAAAAACCCTTTTTTTCTTCCTACTTCAATGACAGCCAACGCCATCTGTGTCTCGTACATCAAAATGAAGAGATTTGTTTTTAATATTTGTTAGATACAGCTAATCAGTTTCACAACAATTACATCACTAAAATGCAGGTGCGGACATTACACGGGTCGTTCCAATGACGCGCTTTGTCGTGGAACGTGGATGAATTTATTCAAACCGCCAAGTTAAGTTCTAAGTGGAAGAAAATGGCATAAGTAATAAAAGTATCAAATTTAACGTTGTTTAATAGCTACCTAAAATTTACTAACTCACTTTCTCCCATCCACATATATAATATAAATTACCCTGTTTACTTTATCAACACGCACCGCGTATTAATGCGCAGAGGAGGGACGATACAATAGAGACA